AAAACATTGCTTTACAAACCTTAAGACTTAATACAAAAATTCTGTATTTTACACATGAAAACATTGTAATGTTTACTGATAATCTGCCAAATGTTGTTAACATTCGCTTACTGATTTAAAAATTATAGCATGAAAACTATAACAAGCACAAAATGGTTATGAGGTCAGTCCCAGGGACTGAGCCCGTGCTGAAAGAGTTAAGGTCCGTACCAGACTGTACCAATTCATGGACTATCATGATCAAAGCAATAATGGGATTGCTTCCCTTCCCTTTCATCCTAGTTGAATAAACTGGGACTGGCCTGCTTTTCAAAATAGGATTTTCATGGTCACCCATTGCACCATCTTACATTCCAACAGATTCCCCACTCTATTGTTCCCTCTTCCAGTGGAGTACAGGAGTCCTTGCCATTTAACAGTCCCTAGCTGCTGGGATGGTGGACCTTGGAGGTTTCCTCCTGAGTATAACTGCTTCTACTTCAAGAGTAGGGAGGTGGTGTTGTGTTGGCATATATGGTGAGTACTCTCCTTCTACCTCGGACCTGAAAACAAATTCCCGATGCTGTCTGGTTTTGGACTGGACAAATCCACCACATGCAGTTCACCCCTTCAGGTGGTTTTCCCCATCCTACCTCTGCCTGGAAGTCAATTCCTGGGCATTCTGGTGTTGTATCGACATAGAACCTGCCAAAATAAGTCCTCACACATGTAATTGGTAGGAAGCCACTTCCTACTGTGGAGTGGACATAAAATTCATGATGATGCCTGGTCTTGGACTGAAGTTGACCCACCAATTATGGTCTGATGTGCCCTTTCCACTGTACACTATCTTGTGCATCCTATTATTGATTTGACTAGCATCTTTTTCTGATCAATTTTGCAACACTTTATCTTTACAATGGGTGAAGAATATACATGGTACAGATGAGGTGTGGTCTTCCACAAGTGAGAACATATACATTATTGTATCTCACTCCATGGATTCTCTTTGGGTGCCTTCCGAAGACTGCTCATCTAGGTAACTTTTGCACCGGTCCCTCCACCTTTTCAATATGGGATTCTAGCTATTATATGAGCAGATGTAAGGTGTCATTTGATATTGAAAGTTAACATTTTCCTACTCTGAAAATGTATTTCTTATGGATACTTACCTCTGCTACACTTCCCACCCATTCTCCCCACTTCAAGTGCTTCTTTTTTTGCCTGATCTCAATGTGATGATTGTGCCAAATAGTATAGAGGGAGTCAGCTGTGTTGCACTTCTATTGGTGGAGGGTTGTTGCATGCTACAATGCAGCTACAGCACGTGTTACACACCTGATGTTAGATGGGAGACTCAAGGCTAGTTGCAAGCACAAATTGCACATATAGAGGGCAGCACAAACCAAGGAAAGCTATTATATGAGAGGATGTAAGTATTCATTAAAATACTTCGAAAATGATAACTTTCCTTTATTAAAATTCATGTTCCATGTCATAGCTCATTCACTAAGATTGTTAAGGTATTTTTAAATAAGCTTTAATTTAGCTTTTTCCAGTTTGGAAAAAAACATACAGTAAGCCAGCTCTTCCAAAGTTTCTACACTTAACAGAATAACTACTGTGTGTGTGATGACATGTAGTACAGATATCTTAATTATTAGCATAAACTATATTCCTCACACATATATAAAATAATATGTTTTAAAAGAGTACATATAAAGTATAGGTTGTTTTTCTATCAAATAGTGACAAAAAATTGTACATTGTGATTTTACAAAAACAGACAAGTACTTAGATTTCTGACCTTTAACCATATCTATTTGTTAGATTTTTTTATACATAACTTTATCAATTATTTTGCAGGCATTTCCCGCAAAGGCTGGGTGGCCATTTCCTGTGTACAAAGGAGGATGTGGGAGGACAGTTGTTGAGGATTTTGTGGGAAGAACTCTTGCAGAGTATGAAGATGCTCCTTGGCCAGTACGAGCCAACTTAGCGCGTCAGTTGATCGAGATGGCTCAGATTCTTACAGAAAACTCACTAGACTTTGCTCTCTATCTTACTGATGTGAACACCAACAACTTTGCAGTGAATGCAGACCAAAAGGTTGTCCTTGTAGATGCAGAAAATATCATTATTGTAGACAGATTGCAAGTTAGAAAAGGTTAGTTTAGTTTCACAACTAAAATAATGTTTAGTGTAAACAAGTAACTGATTTTGATAACTGTAAAGTGTCTTTACAGTAGCAGATTATTAATAGTCATGTTTAGGTGAATATAGTACCATATGTATGTAGGCATTTTGTATGTTAAAAAAAATCAGAGAATAATATATGCTGTAGCAGTCAGGTTAATTTTGTTTGGTTTTTGTGAAGACTTGTATGTTTTATAATTTATATACAGTAGATAATGTTAATGATAATCAATAATTTAGTAGGTTTGTGAAAAAACTTTAGTTTTAAAGTATTTATTTTTTGCGTGGAAAAATAATATCTGTAACATTTATTTGAATATTTAATATTTTATTTTTTTCATTTGTCAGAAGAAGTAATTTTCATTTTTATAAACTTAGATGATAATACAGATAAAGTTTGAGTACTAGAAAATTAAGCATATCCTACAGCTGGGAGGGCAGGGCTCATAACACTCTAATATGAAACCAATGCTGCAAGGGAACTGGGCAAAATGTTTTATATTTGGCTTTTGATGACAATATAGGTAAATTTATCTTTGTAAGAATACTTCATTCAATGCCATGGCTGTTGAGTTACATCAAAGTGATTGTTCATATTTCTTTAACTAGAGGTAGATATAATTCTTAATATTTTATCATTCTTTGTAGTAAGATTATGAATTTTGTGTTTTTATATTGAGTCAAAAATGGACTTGAAACCAACTTATCATTACAACAAGCCAGTACTATTATCTAAAAGTAAATTATTTACTACTAGGTACATGTAATTTTTGTATTTAGAAGTTAAATAAACAGTTAATAATGTATTGTAGTTAGATTAGCTAGGATAGAACATCTGTTAATTTCAAAATGAATACTTACCTCTTTTACAGAATAGCTATCTTCCACAGCTTTTCTGTGGATTCTGCCAAAGAGATTTGCAAGGCATCAGCCTTTTGAAAACTCCTACCTAATCTCATGTGCTACTGCATGATGATTTCATCATGCAGTAGAACACTCCAGCAATAGGAGTGTGACACCTTCATGCTCATTGATTCCCCCTACATTTCTTGATCATGAATCCTCATTTTTCTCCTCGATACTGTATTCACCAGACATGTTTAAATTTCTTGTCTGTGTTCAGTTCATAAAGACTTGCATCATTAATGAAGCTTTCATTTTCTTTTGTTTCAAAAGTTATAATATTTTATCATGACTTTTTGAATTATGCTAATTTATAATTAATCATGAGTATGGGATGTTGTTCACACTTAGGTTTTATTGCTGCTGTGGCTTTTGGAAGCCCATTGACTGCCAAGGTCGTAATAGCCATTGTTCAACATATTGTGGATCACCACATGCTTAATGGGCCACCTACTTACATTTCATCAGCCAAATTTCTTTCTCCTCAATTGGGAATGATCTATTAGACTATGTCCTTCACCTACTTTCTTTATGTAGTACTTTACCATTTGTTAAATTACTTTAATCTTTCCATCTCTTACTGGATTTCATGCTCAGGTATGTTCCTTTTCTTCTATTTTGCTTGTGTTCTTTATTACTTTTCATTTTATCAGTTTATGACCCACTTGGGTTTATCTTTTTTCTCTTTGTTTTTTATTAGGATTTATACTGTATCCTTCCTCTAATAACTCCTTTCTCATGATAAATACCTCGTCCCTTTCCATGTTCATAGCTACTTTTGTCAAGATTTGTCAGTTTTCTTCTCCCCTTTCCTATTCTTTGTCATTGGTTTTTATCTCACCAGCTTGGGGTCCAGGATTCTTATTTTCTTTTCACTACCTTGTTCCTAACTTTGCATTTTTCATCTTTTTCTGCATTCCCTCTCCTACCACCACTTTTTATCTGTGGCACTTCTTCATGCATCTGATAGCTTTTGTGGACATTCATTCCCTTCTCTGTTTGACCTGTTACATTTATTGTGCTCTATCCCTCTTTATTTTGTTCTGCTGTCAGGAATGGTTGGATTGGGTTACATTCCTCATTACTGTACTCCTTCCTTTTTCTTGTGTACATATTGTTTGGCTCCCTTTCTTTACTAAGATGTCTTCTATGGTGTTTTTTTTCCTCCACTTGGTGATCTGGTATAATAATATACAAATTCTGTCCTCGTTCTATTCCCAAATTTTTTTACCCTTTTCTCGAACTTGCCCTTTACTTTTATTCTTCATTTATATCAGTTTCCTTCTCACCTTCCATTCCAAATTCCAGGACATCCTCCTTTTCTCAC